TTCTCTCTCTTTCTGTCTCCTTTCTCTCTCTTTCTCTCTCTTTCTCTCTCTCTTTCTCTCTCTTTCTCTCTCTTTCTCTCTCTTTTTCTTGCCTATCTATGTATCTATGTTTCTATGTATGTATGTATCTATCTATCGATCGACCTACCTATTTATCTATCACTCACTCAACCAATCAATCAATTAATCAATCAATCAATCAATCAGTCCATCAATCATTCATCTATCTGTCTATCTATCCATCTATCTATCAATCTATCTATCTATCTTATCTTATCTCATCTAATCTAATCTAATCTCATCTGATCTTAAATTTAATCGAATCTAATTTAATCTAATCTAATCTCATCTAATCTACTCTACTCTAATCTAATTATCTATCCATCCATCTATCTGTCTGTCTGTCTATCTGTCTATCTGCAAGCTTGAAAACGAAGCTATTCTGCGAGACTTCCTCAGCTTTTGAACTTTGCCATCGTTTTTGGAAATGCTACAAAACCCTCACGTTTTGCTCACTTCTGACAAGGTGCACAATCCCGTGCGCCTGCCACGCGAAACCACATCCAAACGTCCAAAAGTGGTCCGAGCATGTGGTGTTTTTAACATTTTGACTTCAGGATGTGCTTCGCACCACAACGGCGTGCACTTTTTCGACGTCTCAACTTCCAAAAGTGGTCCGACAATGGTGTGTTTTGTACATTTTGACTTCGAAATGTGCTTCGCGCCACAACTGCGTGCACTTTTTCGACATCTCAATTTCGAAAAGTGCTCCGAATGTGAGGTGTCTTTAGTTTTTCACTTCGACATGTGCTTCGCGCCACAACGGCGTGCAATTTTTTATCTCTCATCTGCCCAGCGGGCTCCGCACCCGCCGCTTTAGCGAGCCTACTTGTCGACACTCCGGAGCCACAAATCATTGGAAAAACACAGTGTTTCGCGACTTTCTTACCTTTTTGGGCACCTGGATCTTCTTTCTTCTGAGACTTTCTCTTTTGTGCTCTTCTTTCTTCTTCCCTTCTCTTCTCTGACTCGTCCCATCTCTGCTTTTCATCTGTCCATATTGTCTATTGTCGGAAGTTTAACTTCCAAACTTCCTTCGGTTAATGATAAATACGTACATGTATGTGTGTATATATATATGTATGTAAAGCACCTACATATTCTAAATACTTGCTACCTGTAATTCTATTCACTGTACATATTTACCACCTGTACACTGCCTAGATACTGCCCATGCAACACGGTTACAAATAGATAGACACTACCTATGTACTGCATACATACTACGAGTAGTACCGCACAAGGCAGTGGCGGAAGGTTCAAAAATAGGAAACCTATAGGAAGGGTTGGTTGTTGTGACTTTCAAAAATAGGAAACCTGCAGGAAGGGTTGGTTGTTGTGACTCACGGATGGCAGAGCGAATCCACTGATGGACCGAAAGGTGGTTGGAGTTGTGTTTTCTGGAGTGGCTGCATTGTTTGCAGTGGTCACCTCACCACAACTGCTGGATGTAGTGTGGTGTAGTGCAGTTTTCGTTGTAGTTGTGGGTGTAGTTGTAGGTGTAGTTGTAGTTGTAAGTTGTAGTTCTAATGTAGTGTAATTAGTGTAGTGTAATTGCAGCTACAGTTGTAGTTGTGGTGTGGTGTAATTAGTGTAGTGTATTGTAGTGTGTGTGTGTGTGTTGTGTACTGTGCAGTGGTATAGTGTAGTGTAGTCTAGTGTGTTGTAGCGTACAGTAGTGTAGTTGTAGTTGTGGTGTAGCGTCGTGCAGTGCAATGTAGTGGTAGTTGCAGTTGTAACGTAATGTAATCAGTGTAGCGTAGTGTTGTGTAACGTAGTGTAGTTGTATTTGTAGCTGTAACGTCCTGCAGTTTATTTAGCGTATTGTAGTGTAATGTAGTGTAGCTGTAATTGTAGTTATAGCTGTGGTGGTGGTGGCAGTATATAGTAGTAGTTGTTGTTGTTGCTGCTGCTGTTGTAGTAGTTGCTGTTGTAGTAGTTGTAGTGCAATTAGTGTAGTGTAGTGTAAATAGGTGTAATTAGTGTAGTGTAGTGTAATTAGTGTTGTGTAATGTAGCGTAGTCGAAGGAAGTTTTGAAGTCAAACTTCCGACAATATGGACAGATGAAAGGCAGAGATGGGAAGAGTCAGATAAGAGAAGAGAACAAGAAAGTGAAAGTCTCAGAAGAGAGAAGATCCAGGTACGCGAAAAGGTGCGAAACACTGTGTTTTTCCAATGATCTGCAACTCTGAAGGGTCGAAAAGTAGGCTCGCTAAAGCGGCGGGTGCGGAGCCAGCTGACCAGATGAGAGATGAAAAAAGTGCACGCCGTTGTGGCGCGAAGCACATTTCGAAGTCAAAATGTACAAAGCACCTCATCTCTGGAGCATTTTTTAGAAGTTGCGCTCTCGAAAAAGTGCACGTCGTTGCGGCGCAAAGCACATGTCGAAGTCAAAATGTATAAAACACACCAGGTCTGGACACTTTTGGAAGTTAAGATGTCGAAAAAGTGCACGTCGTTGTGGTGCGAAGCAAATTTCCAAGTCAAAAATGCAACAAACTTAGGAGTACGGAGCACTTTTGGGCGTTCAGATGTGGTTTCGCGTGGCAGGCGCAAGGGATTGTGTACCTTGTCAAAAGTGAGCAAAACGTGAGGGTTTGTAGCATTTCCTAAAACGATGGCGGGCGTGGGACATTTGACAAAGATCGCAGGCGCAGTACAAGAGACATTTTCATCAGAGATGTTAGGAGGTCAGGGCGATGATTTCTTGAGAGGGGTAGCATTTTGGAGCATCAGATCTTCAGGTTTGCTGAGATGATTTTGCATGACTTCGTATGACCTGGCCTCACTTTTTCGTGGCAGGCGCAGTACTTTAGACAGGTGGACTGGAAAAAATCAAAACGCATTGGTACGAGGCCGTAAGCTCTGCACTCAACTTTCCATTTTTGAAGGAAGTCTCGCAGAATTACTTCGTTTTTGATGTTGTCAACTTCGAAAATTGAGGAAGCCTCGCAGAATTGTCCCATTTTCGATATTGTCAAGTTCAAAAATTGAGGAAGTCTCGCAGAATTGTTTCGTTTTTGACTTTGTCAAGTAGCTTGCAGATTGCAGCTAGACAGACAGACAGACCGACAGACAGACAGACAGGTAGATAGATAGATAGATGGATAGATGGATAGATGGATAGATGGATAGATGGATAGACAACAACAACTACAACTACACTATATACTACTACAACTACACATGGAAATAAACTATGCTACAGTACACTACACTAATTACACTACACTACATGAATTACATCTAATTACACACTACACTAATTACACTACAACTACAACTACAACAACAACAACCACTGCTACAATTACAACTACACCACATTACACTACACTGCACTAATTGCACTGCAGCACGCTACAACTACAAATACACATGCGACTACAACTACATTACATTACACAACACTAAACTACACTACGTACATTACATTACACTACAACTGCAGCAGCAACTACAATTGCAACTACCATTAAGTTGCACTACACGACACTGCACTAATTGCACTACACT